CATAAAAGTGGGATAATTTAATTTTTGCTGTGTGACATGTTCGATTTAAATAGTGTTTGAGGTTGTTTTGTCCTATTAAAGTGATATCAGAGCCAGGTTATTTGATTTGTGATTTGTGTTGAACAATAAAAGTCAATACAAGTAGAATAATTAATTTGAATGGTTCAAATTACCATGTGTGAAAAGGTAAGATAAAAGACTTGTTTTATGTGAATGATTATTATTTACCCGTGTTTGTCACTTAAAACCTTGAAAATAAAACAAATGTACAATAAAATTTTATTTCATTCAATAAATATATAATTATATTAGACAGTGGGTAGATGATAATATTTTGAACCATGTTAATAGAGAAACACATGCATTCTTTTTGTGGAATAAGCTTGAGGAGTTGTATGCCCAAAAAATTGAGAATAACAAACTGTTTTAATTAAGCAGTTGATGAGTTTAAAATATCATGATGAAACTCATATAACAAATCACTTGAATGCATATCAAGTTATTATTAATTAGTTAGCTGGCATGAATCTCAAGTTTGAAAATGAGATACAAGATTTATGGCTTTTTAGTAAATCGTCAAACTTGTGAGAGAGTTTAGAATGACATTGTTTAACTCAACTCCAAATGGTGTCATCACTATGGATTTGGCTAAGAATGGTGTTTTGAATAAAGAGATTAGAAGAAAGTCACAAGGTTCCTTTTTATAGTTAAAAATCTTAGTCACAAAAAATATGGGGAGAAGTAAAAGTAAAGGTCTAAAAAACAAAAATAGAAGCGAAAGCAAGTCAACATATTTGTAAATATTTAGTATCATTATTGTGGTCTTAAGAGGCAGATAAGAAAATATTGTCAAAAGTTGAATAAAGACTACTTTAGTGATAAGGATAAGGAAAAAAATGGTAATGGTAATGATACTGATAAAGTTACTACTATCATAGATAACTTTTTTATTTTATATGATGATGATGTTGTTAATCTTAGACACCATAGAACTAGTTAGGTGATTAATAGTGATGCTACAATTTATGTTATATCTTGGAAAAACTACTTTACATCTTACACACCAAGTGATTTTAAAAGTGTTAGAATGAGTAATGATGGCTTAGCTAAAGTCATTAGTATAAAAAATGTTTTTTTTTAAACCAATAATGGCTCTATGTTGGTCTTAAAAAATGTTAAACATATTTTTGATATTTGGATGAATTTGATTTATGTATGAAAGCTTGATGACGAAGGGTTTTGTAACACCTTTTATGATAGCCCACTAAAGGTTCTATGGGTATAGCTAGGGGTACGAAATGTTCTTCATTGTATTTGATTTAGGAAAAGGTATCTAATTTCATTATCAATGTAATAGATAATGATATACAACTGAGCTTTGGCACAAGCGATTTAATCACATTAGCAAGAAGGGTTTGAAGGTTTTAGCTAAAAAAAATATTTTTTCTAGAGTAAAGAATGTATCATTAAATAAGTATGTTTATTGCTTGGCAGGGAAACAAATCAAAGTTGCATTCAAGACATCCATTCCATCAAGAAAGCCAAATATACTTGATTTAATATATTAAGATGTTTGTGGTCCTATGAGAAGAACAAAAACACTTAGTAGTTCCATCTATTTTTTGCCTTTTATAGATGATCATTCAAGAAAGATATGGGCGTACACCTTAAAAACAAAAGATTAAATGTTAAATGTTTAAATAGCTTCATGCCCTAGTTGAAAGATAAACTAGGTTGAAATTGAAATGCATAAAGACTAATAATAGGGGTGAATTCACTTGACCTTTTGACGAGTATTATAGATAGCAGGGTATTAGACATCAAAGGTCATTTCCTAAAATTCCTCAGTTGAATGGGTTGGTTGAGAGGATAAACAAGTTATTAGTAGAAAAAGTGAGATGTTTGCTTTCATAAAAACAATTATCAAAATTCTTCTAGGGTGAGGTTTTGAGTATAGTTGTACACATTTTGAATCTCTCACTATGTATTTCTCTAGATTTTGATATTTTAAATAGAGTTTGGTCAAGCAATAATATGTCCTATGATCACTTGTGTACCTTTAGATGTAAGGCTTTTGTGTATATTCCTGAAGATGAGAGGTTTAAGCTTAATGTCAAGACTAGACAGTGTGTGTTTTCCAATTATGGCCAAAATGAGTTTGGCTACAAGTTTTATGATCTAGTGCAAAAGCAACTTATGAAAAGTAAGGATATTGTTTTTATGGAAAACCAGACCGTATAAGATATTTAAAAGATTGATATATCAATTCCATGATGTAATGATGTGACTTGGATCTAGTTCCCTTAATATATGTGCCTATAGAGGTTGAAGATATTCAAAATAAATATTATAATATAGGTGATGTTGATACCAATCCTACATAGGTTGAGGTGGGTAATGATACCCATAAATAGTCACCAGTACCAGAGGTTCTACCAAAGGTTTTACCAGAAGTTCCATTCAAGAGATATACTAGAAATCAATATCCTTTCACACGGTATTTGTTGATGAGTATATGTTACTAATGATGAGGGAGAACCCAAATGTCATGTAGAGGCCATGAAAGATGAACACAAAAAAAAAAGTGGATTGATGCCATATAGGATAAGATGAAGCCTTTGCATGAGATTAATACTTTTGAGCTAGTAAAGCTACCTAAAGGGAAAAGTGCATTGAAAAATAGATGTGCATATATAATGAAGCAAGAAGAACACACTTCACAACCACATTTCAAAGTTAGATTGGTTGTCAAGGGATTCAGTCAAAATAAGGGTATTGACTTTGATGAAATCTTTTCTACAATTGTTAATATGTCATATATTCATATGGTTTCGAGTTTAGCAGCTAATATTGATTTGGAAATTAAACAAATAAATGTTAAAATTGCTTTTTTCCATAGTGTAATTAGACAAGGAGATTTACATGGAGTAGCCAGAGGGTTTCATAGTAAAAGGAAAAGAGGATTATGTGTGCAAGATAAACAAAAGTCTTTATGGAATAAAGTAGGCACTGAGACAATGATATAAGAACTTTGAGTTAGTTATGGCTGAGCAAGACTACAAAAAAACCAATTCTAACCATTATGCATTTGTGTAAAAATTCTCTAATGATGATTTTATTATATTATTATTTTATATTGATGACATGTTGATTGTACATAAGAATACTTTTAAAATTGATCAGTTGAAAAAGTAACTGAGTAAGTCATTTGCTATAAAGAACTTAGAGCCAGCACAACAAATTCTTGGATTTCAAATTCATCGAAACTGAGCAGCTAAAAAGTTATACATGTCACGAAAGTACTATATTGAAAAAGTGCTTCAAAGGTTCAATATGGGTCAAGTTAAAGTGGTCAGCTCTCTTCTTGCTACACATTTTAAGCTAATTATTAAGCAAAGCCCTTCTATAGCTAAGGAGAAGGAAAGCATGAGAAGGGTTCCATATGCTTCAATAATAAAAAGTTTGTTGTACGCAATGATGTGTACTAAACCAAACATAGCCCATACAATTGATGTTTTCTATCAAATCCAAGAAAAGAGCATTGGAATACAATTAAGTAGATTATGAGATATCTATAAGGCACTTTCAACTTGAGACTCATTTTTTGAAGTGTTTGGAAGTGAAAAATTAGTGCTAGTTGGCTACATTAACTCATATATAGTAAGAGATGTGGATTCCTGAAAGTCCACTTCAGGTTATTTGATTACATTCTCAAGAGGGCTGTGTTTTAGCAATTAAGACTACAAAAACGTGTTTTATTTTCTATAGTAAAGGTAGAGTATGTTGTAGCCATTAAAACATGTAAAAAGTTATTATGAATGAAAAAGTTCATACAAAAGCTCGGTTTTAAGTAGCAATATTATGTGATATTTTGTGACAACCAAAGTGGAATTCACCTTGGTAAGTATTCTACTTTTCATTCAAGATCAAACCACATTGATATGAGGTATCATAAGTAAAAGATGCTTTCAATGATAACTTGTTTAAACTTGAAAAGATTCACATCGATCATAATGGCTCTGATATATTGACAAAAACACTACCAAGGGAAAAGCTTGAAGTTTGTTGTTTGATCATTGGGATGATGATTCCCTCCGCATAATCGAAAAAGGAAACATTTTTTGGGCTTAGCTCTTCTTTAATGTGGAAGCCCATAAGTAAAGCCCATTCTTTAATGACTTTATAGTCCTTTCCTACATGGTTGAAGGGTTTTTAACACTCTTGTTCATATATTGTTTTATGTGGTTGGCTTTTAGCAACATAAAGGTCGGCTAATAATGACAACAACAAGAAAGAAGGAAAGAAAAAAAAATGAGAAAATGAGGTTTGTGCAGTTTCAATAAGTTAATTTGATTGAGGTCAATCCGTGTTACAATTGAGTTAAAATTGTATTACTCTGTTCATACTCATTGTTCTTTAATTTGAATAATGAAAAATGGATTTCAAGTTTTCTACTTATAGAATTCGTGGATATTTGTTAATCCCTATTTTTGGTGAAATTTTTTCAATTATCTCTTATAAGATAATTTTTTTATTGAGATTGTTTAATCTTGAGATATTATGGTTGTATATATCTAATTCTATCTTAAAAAAATTTTATATTTTTTTTTATTTTGATTGTAAAGATTATTTATTATTTATAACTATATGTGGTTTTTATTCCTTGATTAGGGAGGTTTTTTACATAATATTGTTTATTTATTTGAGTTTGTGGTTTAATGATCTATTTGTTAGTTTTATTTATTTAATTTTTGCTAGATTAACGTAAGAGAGAGAATTTAGAAATAATTTGATTTTTTACTATGACATATTCGATTTGAATATTATTTGATATTTTTTATCTCATGAAAAATTATATTAGGAATAGATAATATTACGTTATTTTTATATTTTTAATATTTTATTTATATATTTTTAGATATTTTAATTATTTAATATTATTTTTTATCACAAATTTTAAACATATTTTTTTTCAACTTAAACTATTTTCAATCACAAAACACAAATACTAAATTAATGCTTAATCAAAATTGAATTAGATTGAGTTTAATAGCGTTGCAGGAATTTTTAAATAGCTCTTTTTGTGCTCAGATATGACCAAGGTTATTGATTCGAGTGTCCTGAATTTAATTGTATCACATACTCGGTATTAATTGGTTTTGTACGAGTCGAAGGAAACTTCACTACGTCCTTCTTCTTGTCAATTATGAAAACAAAAAAATCACAGTTATTTAAAAAAACACGTGTCTTTTTTTAAAGGGGCTTTAACAAACAGAAATATCTAGATATTTTTCAGTTTTGGGTTATCTCCTTGCACACCTCAACTCTTTCATTTCCACTTCGCCTTTCTATTAATTAATTAATTAATTACAGGTGACATTTCCCTTTGATGCCTTAAGTAAGCAAACATGCAATCAAGGTCAGGGAGGTTTTCTTTGATGACGGGAACTTGCTTGAAATTTTTGAGCCATGCCTGCAGGCCATGGAGCTTATGAGCTTCAAGTAATTTCTCCCCTCCCAACCAGTGAGCGAGTCCAAACACTATATCCACCATGTTAATCTTGTCCCCTCCAAAGAACTTCTTCTCTCCGAGTGCTTTTTCTTCAATGATTTTTAGCATCTCCAAGCTCTCTTTCTCAGCTTTTTCCTGTCCTCGATCAACCATCCACATTGCTGGGCCCTGTTAAGAACCGAAGAAATGGAAACATTTTCATGTTAGAAATGGCTTTACCCATGCAAAATTCAAGTCTCAAATTTCACAAGTGAAAAAAAAATGTACCTTATCTTCAGCAAACTTCACCCAAAATCGAGCGATGGCTCTCTCATAAGGATCACTTGGCAGCAAGGAATTCTGTGGCCATATCTCTTCAATGTATTCAAGAATAACCATTGACTCGCAAATGGATTTTCTACGATGGAAGAAAACTGGTACCCTCTTGTGAATGGGGTTATGCTGGAGAAGCAAAGCACTCTTATTGCAGAGATCTTCTTCAACATAGTCAAACGTTATTCCTTTCAATTTCAAAGCCCATTTGACTCTGCAAGTGTAAGGACTAACCCATGTTCCGAGCAGCTTTACTTCAGCCATGTTTGAGATCGAGAGATCAACGGAGTACTTTTTTTTTTTTTTTTTTTTAACATGGACCAATATATAACTTAAAAAGCAAAGACTACCCAATTGAACAATGGATGGATTCAATGAATAGGTTAATAATTCCCGAAAGTTGAAGTCAATAGTCAAACAAAGTTAACAATAAATTCAAATTTGGGAGGCTAAACCAAAATTTGATGGGTGGGTTATCGAACGGTGGTTATTTTAAATTTAAGCACTTGCCTGTTTATTGCACCAAAAACAAAAGTAATCTAGGCTGATGCTGATTCTATCAATTATTATGGATTAATTACATAAGAAAACTTTATGATGTATATTAGATGAAAGAGCAGCAGAGAAAATGAAATATATCAGTATATTTCACTTTGAGATTTATAGGTGTCAATTGGCCGGATTGTGTTTTAGATTCGGATCTTTAGATATTCACATTCAGATTAATAGGTTTGAATTAATTTTTTGAATCTTCAAATTTGAGCCATCTTAGATTTAAATTAATTTGCGGCTTGTTGACTTTTTCATATAAATCAATCGGATCAGATTTAAATTTGAACAATTTGGATGAGTTTTTAGCGTTCAGATGAACTTTGGAACGATGGAGCATTTGAAGCAGAATGAAGTAATCAGTCAATTCCTTCAAGAACTCTTTAACTTCTCGCGAATTGGCAGTAATAATCCAAAGGTAGACCACTGATTACGTTAACTTGAGAGCTGTTAATGTTTTCTTTTCACCCGGCATTAGGTGTTTTAATTTTTATTTCTAGAATGTGAAAATATTGTTTTTCTTTTGGGTGAAAAATAATTTAGATAGTTTTTAATATGGAGTGGTTATTTTAAAAATTATAATGATTTATATATGATAATTAAATCAATAATAATTAAATCAATGTACTTTGTAAGCATTTGATGATTCTATATAGTAGTGATTTTGGATCTTCAAGAGCGATATCATTATTCTCATATACAAATATAAAAAAAATTTTAACGTTGAGATGAAGTGATAAAATTAATAATAATTAATTTTATCCATTTAATATATAAATTAAAAACTTGATGTATCTGAAAATTATAATTATTTTGTATTATAAATTTTTATATTTTCAAATAATATTTATTGTAATAAGTTCAAAAATAATTTGTATACTTTTTTTATTTTTTTAAGATTTTATATAATATAATTTTTTGGTTTTCTTTTATTATAGTTTAATAGATTGGTTTGATTTTTTAATTCAAATATTTTTTACATAATTTTATATTATAAAAATCAATTTACCTATCAATAATTATATTTTATTATAAAAAATAAATATTACTAATATTTTACAAATTATTATTTTTAAACAATCTTAAAATTATTAATTTGTGTAATTATTAAAATTTGCATTGCTATTTTTGTACTTTTAAATAAAATAATGTTTAATTTTTATTAATATAAAAAACAATTATATCTAATTTCTAAAAGTTAATGATTATTAACTAAATAAAATGATTTCAAATCATAGACGTTAACATCACTTTGATAGTAAGATCACTCCGATGATTACATTTATAACAAATATTGAATCACGTTGATGTAAGCTTAAAAAAAAAATTTAAATTAACTTTCTAATTTTTATTAACAAATTTTTAAGTTTTCAATCAAGTATCAAAAGTGTATTATTTTTTTAATCGATTGTACTTATTTTTTCATATTTTTGTGACATTTTAAAATTTTTTGTTTAATAAAACTTAGAATAAATTGATTACATTTTTTATTTTCCTAAAAATATTCATGTTCAGTACATAATAAACGTAAAAATAAAGGTTGGATAATCTGAATGTAAATATAAACTAAAAAAAAAATGAATATGTTTATATTGGACACATATCACATCCAACACTTATTCTTAAATCTATATAACATAGCAAATAAAAAATACATATAATTTTAATTGGCCTCCAAGATCAACAAGTGGTTGGGAGGCCAAAAGAAATGCACCTAGCAGTGAAAGTAGCGTGCATAAAAACAAAGCAAAGCTCCAGCAGATAAATTTGTTTATTTGGGTACATGAAGTTCAAGCAGATGATGAACATCTACGACTCTCGCTTGAACAGACGATCAAGATCAGGGAGGTTTTGTTTGATTTCAGGAACTTCCTTGAAGTTGTTGGTCCATGCGTACAGGCGAGGAAACATGTGGGCGTCGAGTAGATTTCTGCCAAGTACTTCTTCAATCATTCCTGACCAGTAGGTGAGTCCACCAAAGGCTATGTCCACCATGCTAACCTTGTCTCCCCCCAAAGAATTTATTGTCTCTAAGGGCATGTTCTTCTATGGTTTTTAACATTTCCAAGCTCTCCTCAATTAGTTTCTTTTGTTCTTCGCCTCTAGTTCCATAAATCTTCCATATTATTGAACCCTGTTTGAATCAAAAGTCACCATCAAACACATTCTCTCAATAACAAAATGTAACATTTTTCCGTCAGCATGATTTTTTCCTTTTTTTTTTTTTTTTATGTACCTTATCATCAGCAAATTTGATCCAAAACCGAGCAATGGCTCTCTCATACGGATCACTTGGCAGCAAGGAATTCTGGGGCCATATCTCTTCGATGTATTCAAGAATAACCGAGGACTCGGAAGTCGGTTTTCCACCTTGAATGAGCACAGGTATCTTCTTGTGAACCGGGTTAGACTGGAGAAGCAATGGACTCTTATTGAAGATATCTTCTTCTATATATTCATATGCTATGCCTTTTCAGAGCCCAAATGACCCTGTAACTATATGGGCTAAGCCACATTCCAAGCAGTTTCACTTCTTCCATCTCTGAGAAATCAATCAGAGTGGCCAATTTTTATAGTAAAAAGACTCCCAATTACAGAATCAAGAGGTGCTAAAATTCCAAAATGGAAGCAAATAAAGAAATTTGGTTTTATTTATAGAATTGTAGATGAAATCGAGAACGTTCAATTTGAGGAGCTGGAAGTTTTTGGATCATTTCCGCTAATGAGACAGAATTTGGAGGCATATCTATATGCCTAGAAATCTGAAACCAGTGTAGTGTACATCGAAGGATAAAGGGAATTGGCCTCAGCTATTGGTAGATTTTCACCTAGTGTAAAATATTATATTCATTTTCTTTGTCTATTGACTAGTTCAATGACAGGAATTATCATCTTTTCTAATTTTCCATTATAGAATTATGAGATATAATAGAGTTTCCAAAAGGACAACCGGTTTTCAAATTCAACCAACAAAATTTGAAACTGGAGAACTCCATCAATCACAATAAATTGACTTTTATATAAGGCATACAATGTCTCAATAATCTGAATTCCTGATTGCTCAATCATCCAGAAAAGTGAACAGCATTAAGAATCTGAATATGGTCAAGTCCTTTTTTACAGAGTGTTGTGGGCGCTGAAACTTAAAGGAGTAGCATATGAATACATAGAAGAAGATATATCTAGCCAACAAGATTCCCTTGCTTCTCCAGTATAATCCAGTTTGCAAGAAAATACCAGTACTCACTCATGGTGGAAAACCGATTTATGAGTCTGATTATTCCTGAATACATGGAAGAGATTTGGCCACAAAATTCCTTGCTGTCAACTGATCCCTATGATAGAGCCGTTGCTCTTTTTTGGATTAAAGGCAAATCTTTTGGCTTTCAGACATGGTTTCGAAGCCTGCTTTCTATATTTTAATTTCATTTATCTCCATTGTACAAGATCAATTTAATTGTCATATTCCATCCTTGATTCATACAGAGTCCAGCAATGTGGATGATTTTTTGGGCCAATGGTGAAGAACAGGAGAAGGGTGTTAAGGATAGCTTGGAAATGCTAAAAACCATTGAAGAAGATGCGTTGGGAGAGAATAAATTTTTGTTGTAAGAATTGTATTAACTTGTGAAGAATTATTTCAACTTGCATAGGTGGTTGAACGGTCTTTCAAAAGCCGAATGCTACCAAGATAGAGAATAGAACTTCAAGGAAATGTTTAGTGTGATTCAGATATCACTTTATTTTAGACTAATTTTGCCTCCAGCAATAACAGTATGCAATAAAGGATTGAACCCAATAGTTTAAAATACCTTCGCTTTTAAAGAAAGCTCCTTCATCAAATAGGATGGCAATGGATACTTTGGCACTTTGCAACCCGATTAAATAAGATTAAGGTATTTTATAGTCGAGTTCAAATAGGATTCAGGCAATAAAAAATATTTTTTATCACGGTTCGAGTTGTGATCTTAGGATATCCATTTTTCGAATCCAATTATAAAAAATATTTTTTTAATATTATATGTTATTTATAAATTATTTATTATCAATGTAATATTTAACTAAATTAATTCATTAAATGATCTAGTTATAATTTTTATCTTTAATTTATTAACTTAAATTTTTTAATAATTTCAATAAAATTAATTTTAAATTTAAGTTTAAAAATTAAACTTCAATTCAATAAATAAGTATTTAGGTTATATTTAATATATAGGATGATGGATAAGATCGTATAATAATAATTTTATATTATGTTTGATTTATATATAATTAAAAAAGATAAAAATACAAGAATGATTATCATCCTTTTGAAATAAAATAATTCAATAATCCCAAAATAAAAAAGATTACTTTTAATATATGAAACTAAACTTATGTCTTTTATTATACTTTAAAAATTACATCAATAATTTAAATTATATAAACTTTAAAAAATGATAATTTTGACTAATAAATAAATTATCATATCTTAATTTTTACATATATAACATAAAATATATTGATATTATTTAATCTAATCATATTTATAATATCATCGGTTACTATCATATCATCTTGAATGCAAAATATGATCTTAGTGGATTCAATTAGTTAATGATAATTGTTCCCAAGTCTTTAGTCTAATAGCTAAATACGTTTAAGGCAACATCAAGGATTTGATTTTGAGCTAGGTCTTTCTCATTTTCTTTACTTGTTTTAGAATTTTACCTTCTTGGTGTAACAAAAAAAAATTAATTAATCATAATTCCTTATATTGTACAGGTGGAATTTAAAAACAAAAATTAAAAATATTCTAATAATTATCAAATTTAAATATCTTGATAAATATTCAAATTCGGATAGAGAGGATAACTTAGCCCTTACCATCACTACTTGAATGGGCTGCCTTGACAAAATTTAAATTTGTCCCTTCATGCAGTGCTACTTTTTTTTCTTATAAAATAAAAATTCAAAAATAAATAAATTATTTAATCCTTCGAGTCATAATAAAATATATATCCTATCAATATCTCAAATCAATGATAGATTTGATTTGGATCCTACTTCTGCCTAAACGGCACCCGAATTGAACTGAACCATTTGTCTGGCTATTGTTCTCTTATTTTGTTCCTTCAAAGTAATGGAGTAAGACATCGATTTTTCAAAAAGATCATTTTTTTTTTATTGCATGATAGACTCCCCTGAAAAACATTGGCGTGCGTGTAAACGAGTGCTCTACCTAATTGAGCTATAGCCCTTTGTTATACATATTTTATTATATTATTTAGATAATTTTTTGTCAAAATGAATATTACATAATCTAATAGGTAAGATATGTCATATCTGAAGATAGATAATTATAGGTTATACATTCGAAGTGATTCTAATAAATAATCATCGACGAAATTAAAATTCAAAATTTTTTCATCAAAAAAAATAATTTTAACCAATTAAATCACTCATTTATTAGTTGCTTTTTTTATGCTTTTGTGGGTTTTTTGACATGGGTTGCATATTTGGGCTTTGTTGGGCTGCTATCGGGTTTGAGCTACTTAACTGGAGTTCTTTCCTCGGCCGATAGCTCCATTTCTAAAGAAAGATCATCTTGGAGAGTAAAGCAATTAGTCGACTCCCAGAAAAAGAAAAATGAACTCCTAAAAATCCACAATCTCCGCCAAAGTGTCCTTCAACCATGTGGCGAAACTCTGCCACTTTAGGCTTCTATTCGAAACTTCTCTCCCCTTCTTCGTCCACCAATCCTAATTACTTTAATTACGCTTCCGCTTTTTCCATATTCAGTCAAATCGGCATTGTAGAACCGGCACTTTCTCCTTCTTATCATCGCTTTTACTGTTCATCGGAGGCTCCTTCACCCTCTCCCTCATCGGAATCCGTTATAAAGCTAGGGTTTCTTGCCTACAAATCTGATGTGTTTCGACCCTTAAGTTCCAAAGCTAGAGATGCAGTCCATCTTGTTCGTCACTACGGCCAATGTTACTGGGAACTCTCCAAGGCTCGTCTCAGGTCAAATCTCATTAAGACTTTTAGGCAAATCTTTGAATTTTTTTTCTTTTTATAATTTGACTTTTTTTTGTGTTCGTTTTAATAGTATGCTGGTGGTGGCGACTTCGGGGACTGGATATGTACTAGGGAGTGGAAACGCCGTTGATTTGGTGGGCCTTTGTTGTACCTGTGCTGGAACCATGATGGTTGCTGCTTCTGCAAATTCGTTGAATCAGGTTGCGTTGCATCCTTTTTTTTCAGTTCTTGATTGCTCTCTTTGAGCATTTTGTTAAGCATAGTCGTATCATTCAGAAACCTGAATTAAGTTTTAGCTGATCCTATTGAAATGTGCAGTTTTATAGAATAGTATCATTATCAATTTGATATCTACTATTGACTATTTATGTTTGCAAGCATGGTAATGGCTCTATCTTCAACAAAAAGTCACATATCAACAATATTATCTCTTTCTTTTCTTAAAGGGTTCTTGTAGAAAGATCTTTTGTCTATCTTGCTTAGCTGAACGTATAGCTCATGAAAAAAATAAGGAAAACATTGAGGAGAAAAACATCTCTCTCTTTAGGTGTGCCTTTCATTTAGCTGTTGCTATAATGAAGAGGTACCTTTTAGGTGCCAAAGGCTTGGGCTTGAGTAAAGGCTCATTGCCTGATGGTTGAGAGGGAGAGGCACTTTGATTGATCTCTGCTTCACCTTAGCACCTAAATGCACCTCGGCACACACCTTGACAGTACTAATTGGGACCAAAATCTTCAATTCAATTTATGCTTTTAATTTTTTTCTTATTAGCCTAAAATGCCCTTATCTAATGTTCTGACTTTCTTTTCCTTTTATTAACCTTAGGACAAACTAGGGAATAGTACAGCTAGTATATAGATATTTACAAATACACACATAATTTTACAAAAAGTAGCACCTACACCTTGGTAATACAAGGATCCTAGTGACACTTGTGCCTTTGAGGACATATTGAATTTTTTATATATTAAATTATCAAGGCTTTCTCTCACCCCTGCCCCTTTCTTTTTATTAGTTTTAAAAGATTAATATGAGGGTATAGCTGACTTTTTAGGTTATTTATCTACAAATCTCATATTAGGAATGTTGTGTTAGTGGCTCATTATCAAGTTCGATGAGTTCTCTTGCACTACAATTGATGACGAGGTAGATTATAGCTCATTGGGCATTATTTAAATCCATCAAATAACTTTCCTAATATAAGAGAGATAAATAACCCTACAAGAGGAGAGGAAAAGAAACAATATAAATTCTTTGAAATTCTAAGAATTGAATTCATGATTTGTAAATTGTAATTTTCTATCACCTTTTTTTCTTGACCACTATGTTTTTATTACCTTTGGTTAATTGATTTGCAAGCATGGTGATCATACATGATGATTGTATTTTAAGTTGCTTTTAAAATTTGGACTAGATTGACTGAATTTCAATTAACCCATGTATTCATGTCCCTAGGTGCTTGAGATAAATAATGATGCCAAAATGAAGAGAACAAAGCAAAGACCTCTGCCTTCAGGACGCATCACAATACCACATGCAGTCACCTGGGCAACTTCTGTTGGGTCTGCTGGCACTGCTCTGTTGGCATGCAAGGTGACCAGATGAGTTCACTCAGTTCTTTTCTGGATTTCTTTAATTCTAAAATTTGATTCTTTTGTGTTCACCAAACAATAAAATGTTGTCAGCTGAGTGACTAATATTGCTGCTGTGACAAGATTATTGCAGGCTAATATGTTGGCAGCTGGACTTGCTGCTTCCAATCTTGTTCTTTATGCATTTGTGTATACTCCATTGAAGCAGATTCACCCTGTAAATACATGGGTTGGGGCCATTGTTGGTGCTATTCCTCCTCTTCTAGGGTAATTTTGTCTTGAAATTCTATTAACTTTTTTGTGGTGATTGTCTCTAAAGGTGTGTTTGGATGAGGAACTTAAAAATTTTGAAGAATTTTGAAATGAAAGCTTTTTAAAATACATCAAATCAAAATACTATATTTGTAATTGCTAAATATTTTTTAGAAAGAAATTTAGAATATTGGAATTTGATGAAATAAAAAAAAATAATTATAACCGAGAAATAATGATATTAGGGATAAAATAAGAAAAATATTGAGAAAATATGCAATGAGTATATTTGATTTGTAAAAGCACATGCATATTACTAATAATACGAAAAAAGTAAAAAAAAAAAAAAGTGAAATGAGTTTTTGTAGTTAGAAGTAAAGAAAATAAAAGTTGCATAAAAAAGGGAGAAAAATAAATATCGATATTTTATCAAAAAACCAAGGAATTTCACAAATTCCACTGCTTGAGGTGGAATTTAAAAAGAGAATTGAACCCTCTAAAATTCCTCTTTCAAATTCCAAGAATTTTGACAATACTAATTTTTATTTTGCCAAACAATGTAATTGCATTTTAGAATTTTGAAAGTCTCTCAGTGAATGAATTCCCTCAAAATCCCTTATCTGAGCACAACCAAAGGAAATTTTGGTTGTTCAATTTTTAATGGTTGGTATAGTATTTAATTGTGTCAAGTTTTTCCCATTTGTTAATACTTGTATGTGCCATACAAAAAAATTGGAGCTAAAATGTCTTGTATGGGACTCCCACGATATGCTACCTATTTTATTTGATCTTTGTGGTTAAAAGAAGCTACTTGGAATATAGAATCATTAACTAGCAAGCTAGTAGAGATAGGAGAGATAATGGCTAGAAGAGGAATTAATATTATGTGTCTCTAAGAAACTAAGTGGGTAAGGGAAAAGACTAGAGAGATAGAAACACGAGGCTCTAAGCTTTGGTACACAGGTAAGGAAAGGAGTAGAAATGGAGCGAGAATAATTGTAGATAAGAATTTGAGGGATGATGTGGTTGAGGTTAAAAGAAAGGGAGATAGAATTTTACATGTTAAACTTATATTAGGAGAGGAAATTGTTACCGTCATTAGTGTTTATGCTTCGCAAGTAGGTTTGGATCAAATGAGTAAGCAAAAATTTTTAGAAGAGTTAGACGAGATAGTGTGAGCTATACCAAATAGAGAAAAGTTGTTTATTGGACAAAACATGAATGATCATGTAGGCAAAAATGGTAGTGACTTTGAAAGAGTGCATAAAGGATATGGCTTTGGAGAGAGAAATGAGGTCAGAGATAATATTCTTTACCTAACTATATTAAACACGTATTTAAGGAAAAGAGAATCACATTTGGTGACTTTTAGGAGTGGGTCAAATGCAAGTCAAATTTATTTTATTTTATGAGGAAAGAGGATAGAAGTAGCTATAAGGATTGGAAGGCTATACCAAGTGAGAGTGTGACAATACAACATAGACTGTTAGTACTTGATATCTTTCATCTCAGGGGGTCAAAAAGGATATATCAGAGTTATGAACCACGTATTAAGTGGTGGAACTTGAAGGGGGACAAAATGTTAGCTTTAAGGGATAAACTAGTAAAAGAAATTGATTGGAATCTTGATGAGGATGTAGAAGTAATGTGGCAAAATATTACTACTAGAATTTAAAGAGTTGCGAAAGAGACGCTTGGCGAATTTAGGGGTCGTGCACCATTAAGAAAGGAATCTTGGTGGTGGAATGAGGATGTGAAAATGACAATTAAAGCTAAGCAAGAGTCTTATAAAAAAAAGAAACAATAGTCATGAGGTGAGTTACCTGCTATGTAAGACAACAAAAAAGGAAGCCAAACAGGTTATTTGAGATTCAAAGACTAGGATTCATGAGGAATTATATAGAAAACTAAAGACAAGATGGAGAAAAAGAATTGTTCAAAATTGCTAAGATAAGGGATAAGAAGAGTAAAGATCTTAGTGGCGTAAGATACATTAAAGGCAGGGACGGAAGAGTTTTAGTGAAGGATGAAGAGATTAAGAAGAGATGGAGAGATTATTTTGATAATCCTTTTAATGGCAATTTTGAGCATGATATAAGTGGGCTTAACATACTTTTTAAGGATGTAAATTGTGTGTTTAAACGAAATTTTAAAAGGTATGAGGTTAAAGAGGCTTTGAGAAGGATGAAAGTAAAGAAAGCTATAGGACCAGATGAAATCTTGATTGAAGTTTGGAAATGCTTGGGTAAAATAGGGATAGAATGATTGACGTATCTTTTTAACAAAATTTCACGTACTCAAAAGATGCTAAAAGAATCGAGGAAGAGTAGTCTAGTGCCTTTATACAAGAATAATGTGATATACAAAATTATTTGAATTATCGAGGAATAAAGCTTATGAGTCATACTATGAAACTTTGGGAGAGAGTAATTGAATGTAGGTTGCGACATGAGGTCACTATTTCATTTCCTAAAACCAACTTGGGTTTATGCTAGAACATTCCACAACAAAGGCAATCCACCTATTAAGGCTTTTATTGTAAGGTTTTCGAGTGAGAAAAAAAGATCTACTTATGACATTTATCAACCTAGAGAAAACATACGATAAAGTTCCTCGAGAGGTGCTTTGGTGGGGCTTAATTAAGAAAAAGAGTTCCTTTAAAGCACATTAACATAGGTAAATATATGTATAAAGTAGTAATAATGAATGTGAGGATGGTTAGGGGCATGACTAAAGCTTTCCCATTACCTCAGGATTGCATCAAAGCTCAACACTAAGTCCATTTCTTAAAACATTAGTTATGGACGAGCTTATTGGACATATACATGATAAGGTGCCATGGTGTATGTTATTTACTGATGATATAGTCTTCGTTGCTGAAACTAGTGATGATCTTAATGTGAAATTAGAATTATGGAGGCATATATTGGAGTTTCAAGGTTTAAAATTGAGTAGATCTAAAACTTAATATAGGGAATGTAAGTTTAGTAATCATAGGGAAGCGAGTGCTAGCATGATTAAGTTGGATGGTGAGGTAGTACCAAAGAGTAGTCATTTTCAATATTTGGGATCAATTATTTAGAGCGATGCTAAGATAGAAAGGGATGTAAATCATACTATTCATGCAGGATAGTGAGCTAGCGATGTGCGTTAGTTGTGTTGTGTGATCACAACATGCCTTTAAAGGCGAAATTGTATAAAACAACTGTAAAGTATGCATTACTATATGGAACTCAAGGTTGGGACGTAAATCATAGGATTCAAGAAGGATGGTGAGGTGGCGAAGTGTGTCGTGTGTTGTGTGATCGCAACATGTCTTTAAAGTTAAAGGGGAAGTTATATAAAACAATTGTAAAGCTTGCATTGTTGTATGGAACTCAATGTTGGGTTGTTAAGAAACAACATGAGAAGAAAATGGGCATAGCTAAGATGAGAATGCTTAGATGGATGTGTGGTAAGGCTAGAAGAGTCGAAATCATAAATGAAGAGATTCTAGGAAAATTAGGGGTAGTCTGAATTGAGGAAAAGATGAGAGGATGGTTTGGACATGTGAAATGTATGCCTCTCTGTGCACCAATTAAGAGAAATGAGTTTTTAGATTTAGGAGAGATCAATACTTCTAGAGGTAGAGGACAAAAGATGCGGATGCAAGTAATAAAAAATGATATGATAGTACGAAAGACATGGATGCAAGTAATAAAAAATGATATGATGGTTAAGGAAATAGATGAAAAGGTTGTTGATGATAGAAATGAGTGGCGCAAGAAGAGTCAAAACTACGACCTAATATGATTTTCCTTTTTTGGCCCTTCATATAGTTGACTCCAAAGTTATGAGATATAAGGCTTAGTTTGTTGTTGTTGTTTGTGGTTAAAAGACTTGTATGATAAGTTGATGTTGATGGCATGATTTGACTACTTAGCAGGTTCAGCGAGCTTAGGTTTCTGAATCTTAGTTTATTATTTTTACTGTAACTATTGAGGTCAAGAAATAGGGATAGCCTTTTGGTGCTAGAAATATTGTTTCTGCAAGTTCCTAGCTTGGTAATATGAGATTAGCACAATGAAGTGGCATCTTGTAATATGCCTTTTTTCCCTTGTTTTCTGATTGAAACAACTAGGTTTCAGCCCTACTGTTTGGCTTCTGATTGCATCATAAAGAGATTTGGAAATAATTGAAGGTACTGTCCAGTTGCTGGAACCCCATATGACTGAGGTCTGCAGCACTATTTGGAGAAGTGTTAGCTAGGACATTGAAGAGGTTGCCTGGCTCTTAGATAGCTTGTAATGGAGCTTTCCTTGAATCCTGTGGCCTTAGGGAGGGGTTTATAAAATCTTCAATTCATCTAGGTTGCTTATAGTTAAGAACTTTTTTCAAACATCTATGGGCAGAACTTGGACATTAGAGCGTGAATGGTTCTAGTTTCATGATAAACTTTCCTGACATGGATGTGATACCCCATCTCGTGTAACCAACTCAGCTGATTTTTCTATTAACTTAACATATTATTGTTGACTAGTGCTTCTGCTTTTGTTTAACTTTTTTCATATGAAAATTGCCCCTAGTTGACATCGATGATGGAGAACACTTGCCAATGTTCTGCAGAAGAATTATTCTCTTTTTGTGGTCTCTGGAGGCTGATGGAATTCTGAAGTTTCGTATATTGCTTATAAACAAATCTGTGTATGACTAATGAAACAGGGAAAAATAATGCCTCCTCAAATTTAAGGGAAAAAGGAACAAAAGATCCCCATATTGTGTTGAAAGATGTATATGTAATCCCTGTTTCAGAATTATAAATATAAGTAGCATATGCTGAGGGGGTATAGAAATGCCTAAAAACTTTTGCTTGAAATATAGAGGTCATTTTATTTGGAAAAGGAAAAGATGATCCTTAACTAGGCTTTGCTTTGTGTTGCTTTTAAGTTTTATTTTAAATTTAATTTAACCACTTATACTCAGGCTTACTTTTTTCTGTTCTGAATTCTTAGGTGGGCTGCTGCTTCTGGTCAGATTTCCCTCAATGGATTAATTCTTCCAGCGGCTCTCTACTTTTGGCAAATACCCCATTTTATGGCCCTTGCATACTTATGCCGCGATGACTATGCTGCAGGAGGGTATGTGGATGTTTTTGCAATAAGCATTTTCTGAACCTGTTTTGCAATCAGTCAAGCAACCTTTTATTCTTCCCTGCAAAAAAAATAAAAATAAAAAATTGAACTTCTCTATTTCGGCCCTTTCTAAGTAATCTTTTTTGAAACCTAAGCTTTGGCTTGGAGAAATGATCTTAAGTTTCTCAACTGCAGTAGACAAATGCCATAATATAACGTGGAAAGTGGAGACTTTTACCTTTCTTGAATCAAGAAATGTATTTGGTTTACTTTGTCAGAAGATATCATTGGGATGATTCTTTCATTGATAATATCTAAGGCATCTCAGCGCCTTTTGCGTGTGAATTGGTGAATTATTAATTCATTTCACTTGATCTTGGTCCCTTGATTTCATTTTCTATGATGTGTTATTTTTTCAGGTATAGGATGTTCTCTCTTACAGATCCTTCAGGTCAGAGAACAGCTGCTGTGGCTTTCAGGAACTGCCTGTATCTTATTCCTTTGGGATTCATAGCCTATGACTGTAAGTTACCTTATTCCATACATGAAAACTATCATACTAGGCTTCCTTTTGCCTTAGTCATTTATATTTATTAAAATTTCACATTGCAGGATTTAGCACCATATACTGACATAATTTTAAAACATTGGGTATGCACAAAAAATATATAACCTGAATATGAATTATGAGTAGTTTCTGTTTATACTATCTTAATTTGTACTACGGTACATGGGGTATGGACTCTACTTTGTCTTAATTCACATTTTTATTTCATCATACAAGCTAGTGAAAATTTTTTTTTCCAGGGGGGGTGGCCTCTGGGTGGTTTTGTGTTGAATCATCTCTTATTACCCTAGCAATAAGTGCTGCAGCATTTTCATTTTACCGTGACCGTACTACTCAAAAAGCAAAAAGGATGTTTAATGCTAGCCTTTTGTATCTTCCTGTGTTTATGTCTGGACTCCTATTTCATCGGCTCTGTGATGATCAGCAATGCCTTGCGGATAACCCTGACAGGATTGTTGAGCTTTCATCTTCCTCACAAGATGTAATTGATAGTGGAGAAGATGATCAAAAGAAGAAAGTGAGGCATTTCACTGCTGGTCCACAAGCACGCCCACCTGTAGCATATGCATCCATTGCTCCATTTCCCTTCCTTCCCGTCCCTTCGTATGTTGATCCTTGATGCATCAATTGGCTTCAAATTTCCTATACCAAACAAAATTGTTGGAAGGGAACCCTGAAATCTTTTCAGCTTTCTTTAATTTCTTTCTCTCTCTCTCTCTCTCTCTCTCTCTCTCTCCATTTTACACATTTTTGCTTCTCGACTTTCATTAATTTGAAATTAATGTAATTGTTATTAAGCTGTTAATGCACTCTGAGTAGCATTAAACTCGCAGGTCTTCTGCATGCGCTTCCTTTCTAATAAACCCGCTATTCATGGATCCTTGGCAATATACTCTGCCTTTGGTATTTGGTTTTGATGTCATACACTTTAGCCATGAGCATTTGAAAAATTCACTTCTATTTGATCTTTCAACATATAATCGGTTGTTTATAAAACGATGCATCATGGAAAACTAAACTATCAGAATACACATCAAATGCAAGTAAACCAATCAACTGCAACCTAGAGTTTGCAAAATGTCGCTCACAGCTTAATGTACTGCTTTATTTTCCACAATGAAATGGAAAACCAATGGATATGAGTTTTAAAGCCACTTTTCAGGTCAAAAGCTACTTTTGATGCACTTTTAATATTAAACAGAAAAAATGTAACTTTTTAATTTAAAATTTTGATTTACAAACCCAAAATAAAACTCCTAAAATGATAACTATCGCAATCAGTTGCAATTTTTATAAAATAATTTAATTATTCTTGGCATCTCTAAACTTTTATTATCATATATATTTTTAAATATTTCAATTAACCATAGAAATGCTAATCACTTAAAATTCTTAAACCATATTTTCTCACCACTTTTAAACATTGTTTTCTGCCATTTTTCAATCACAACAACAATTAAGTTTGGTTACAAACATGATAGACAAAAAATGAATGACCAAAAACCAAACTAGAAATACAATTACAATCTCCAACTACAAATTATTTCTAATACATGGCTGACCAGGATAAATTTCCGGTTTTTCTTTTTTTTTTTTACCCCCCTCATCACGTTTGACGCTACCCACCCTCTCCTTTGAGAAATCTGTTTTAAGTCTAATGCCTAAGTTTGAACCAAACAAAAAAGAAGCAGCAGCTTATGTCTGACCAAATTCTCTATCTAATAAAAGAACAGCTTAAAGACAGCTACAAAATCCAAAATCAAGTTTGACAAAATGAAGGGGTTCAAGAATCACGACATCTATAATAGTTGCAATCTACCATACACCCAAGAATCGAATTACGGCAGAGACACCAATATTCTTTGTATGGAACATATAACCATGGCATTGTTGAAGGTAGTGTGGCTCCCAAAGTAGATGCAACTCTGGGCAGGGCCGAGGGTAGACAAATTAAGTTTAGAATACAATGTTAAAGCTCAGAACAATGAGTATGCCAAAATATATTAAATTAACTTACTTGTTACCGCTAAGAAGTCCAAAAACTGATGTCGCAAAGTATGATCGAGAAACTCCAGAAAAAGCTTTTCTATAATGCGGTAAGACCATTTGTCCTGTAAAAATTTTCCCATTATGATTAGCACTAGACATTCCAATGAAAATCCAAGCAAAGAAAGAAAATCATGCATTAGGTCCTTTATTGATTTTAGCAAATGGTGTATGCTAAGAATTTGTTAAGAATTGTCCATAGTGGTCTAGAATATCCAATGAAAATCAAGACTTTCAGTGAATAACTGATCAAGGTCTCACCTATGCTCAAATAATTGCTGTGAAGAATTGATATCATTCTATTTATATCCTCTCTTTGCGGTGCCTCTTCAAATGGCAAACTGTTTTTATCAATATGCGCACTACATGAGGAATCACTGCTACTATTGTGACAGGCGATGCTTTCAAACCATATCCCCAATGGAAATCTTCTAGGTTTTATCAACCGAAGGACAATTTTAATATAAGGAGTAGCATGGATAACAGATATGATGACTTCGATGAACATACAGCTAAGGCTGATGACTGTTTTCATGATGGTGAAGAAAATATAGAAGACAGAGGTTGTCGGCAACAGAAGCAAAAGTGGTGTAAATAGAAGAGATCCAACAACATGTTGCTTCACATTGTAGTCAAAGCTATCTAATCTTTGACGAAGAGGATTCCACTTCCGTCCCCTGCCAACAGTACATCAGCTCTTAGACCAGCTTGAAAGAACTAAATAAATTTATTGATGTCTCATGTGACATAGTTTACTTCTAACAAAACCAATAAGTTGTCTGCTTTTCAAATTCTATCAGATAAAGCTATATGGAGATACAAATGCATAACAAAATAATGATACTGATATATAAATAAAGAAGAAAAACGCTAGTCTTTTAAGAGCATTCAATCCCTTCTCCAAGCAGCCAGTAATTTAAACAGAAACAGGATTCTGGACCAATTGATATTAGAAAACACTTTGATTGAGATGGAATGGGATTGGGTGTGGTATGTTCTTCCAGGAAATCAAAATTACAGTCATATTTTAGCACTATCAGATGTAGAGATCAATTTTTATCAGACCTGAAATGATATATAATTATGTTCTATTTACTTTCCAGAGTTTTTGTTGCACCACTATATACAAAAATACTGCCTTCAATAGGCCCTAATGTCATTCAAGGTCAGATTAATACAACTTCTATGAAAAAAGACTAAAACCAGGCCTTTAATTGGTTCTAATATATGTTAGCAATAACCCATTAACACAGATGTGACTACCAGCTGCATTATACGCAACACAATCAAAATAACTTTATAACAACAATGAATGGATTAGAGCCAAACAAATCCTAAATGAGAAATGCTGAAGTGGTACCTGAAAAGACGCCACAAAGCTGCTAGCGTGTGTAACTGCTGTGAATAGAGAATTGAGATTAACCAATGAAGTGTTGACACATGCAATGTAGCTATCGCAATCATGTCTATAACCAACGCAGCAGATATTGTCAACCCAAAAAGAATTGCCAATGTAGCAAGTACTTTGATCAAATAAATGAAGAGAGAACCCACAAAAATCCAAAGGGTAGACCAAATTTGAATCGTATTCAGAGAAATCATGCCAAGAACTCCAGCCAATTCTATGTTCAACTTGAAACCTGCCGGGACACCCATCAACCACACACATCCCGACCTCAACAACTCATTTGTAAAGTTACAGGCAAAATTAGAAATCCATAAACAGACAGATTCTGTGTGAAATAGAAGTGCCAAACCAATCAAGTCTCCCAAAAGGATATCAACAACCAAACTTGACCACATGGAATGCTTATGTAATGCAACCTTTTCTGCACACTCCACACTTGATTGAGACCTAACAGAAAACATTATTATCGGGATAATGAGGGGAGGCATAATGGGCACTATTCTGAAACTTCATATAGAAAAACATGCCTAAGCTCAATAATGAACTGAGAACATGATATATCAACAAATGAATTCATATATATTCTACAGACTTGCCACCTGAGGTCATTGTCCTGAAGAAAGATTGGCCAATATAATATCTGACAACAACGAATTCGAATATTTATCCAGGTATTGCTAAATGCCTTTGCTGATGCAGAGTATACCCATGCTTGAGATCCAAAATTCAAAATGTAATGGAAAAACTGAAGAAAAATATAAAAAATAGTAGATAATGATGCGATTGACACGGCCAATATATGCCACGTAAAGGTACAAAACCTGCAAAGCCAAATAATGGTATATCAGAAAATGCAGACAGACATGACAAAGGCGAGCAGCAACCTAAAGTTAGGATGAGATTACATCCAAATAATGGGAATATTAGCAGAGGATCTCTTTAAGCCATCATGTCTCTCAAAAAATTTCTTAGCTGCAGTGGCACTGTTGATCGCCAAAATGACTGTATCCTGCTTTCAAAATTTTTTAAAATTAAAAAAAAGAAAAGAAAAGAAAAGAAACTGTCCTAATTCCACCAAAAGGTACTTGTGAACTATTTTACCAAGTCATTTAAAGGCTGCTTTTGTTGAAGTTCATCAACCCACTGAGGCTTCTTAAGAGAAGGTTTCTCATGCTCAGAAGAATTCCAGAATCTCAATGAGAAATGGTGTCCACCAAATGTTGGAGTTTCATAGAATATAACCTAAAATTGTTCAGACAAACCAACATAGATTAGTCGCCATTAAGAAATACAACTAAATGACAAACCAAACAGTAGAAGCAGTCAGACCTACATACATGGTCGTCAAATTGAGACAATATTTCCCTGTTCCAGTGAATATGATGCAATTTAGGAATCCAACAAATTCCCCAGGCATTAAGATGAAGAGAATCATATGCCAGCTCGATCCAGTAATCATTTTCTATAGATGTCTGCCTGCACTGGTCTAATAACCCATCAAGTTTAAGGCATCCACAGCATTCGCTAACATCATCAATACTGTGAGCGCAGGATTTTCTGACATCATCCTCTTCTGCTCCATTGTAAAACACTTGACCATTGCTGAGACAAGGTCTATACTGACCCAACAAAGAAAACTTCGATTTACCTTGAAGAGATACATGCATATTACCATTGATGGAATGGAGGATCTCCTATTTACAGAAAATATCCAGCATTGTCAAATAAAGTCCCAAATTTAAACCATTTCCAAATACCAAAGCTAGATGCCGTATAATATCAAGCTCAACAAGATAACAGTTCAACACAATAAGCAATTTGGTTTCTTTAATTTCAAAGTACCCATTTTTTCTAAGCAATTATAATTCATACATAAAATTCTTTTTTTCCAAAAATAATTTGAAAGAAAAAATAAGTGCTTTACACGGAGCATTACAAAATCAGCAATAAATAACTTCAAAACACACAAGTAATTTTCGTTATTTAATTTCTAATTACCCTTTCTCAAAGCAATTATAATTCATAAAATCTTTTAGAAAAATTGAAATCAAAATTACTGCTTTACCTGAAAACTAGATTGCAGATTCGAAGAAGACTCGTGATTTGAAGCGAAAGCGACGACAATGTCAACAGAATCTGAAGAACAAGAAACGAACCAGCCAAACAGAAGATTATAAGTAGATGGTAGGGTTGAAGAGAGCGGCTTTGGCCACCAAATCCTACACTTTCTTCTCATTTTTTTTTTTTTTGGTTTTCACGTTATTATCTTAAAAATTTACTCAAAATTGCTTTGCTTTCACTTTAAACCCTTCAAGAAATTTTATAACGAGCTTAAGCTCTTAATTCCGGCCAATTTCATTTGTTTTCTAATTCTCCATTCTTTCCTTTTTCCCTTTTTCATTTCACTGATTTTATTATCTTCTTCCAGCTTGAAAGTTGAAACCCTAGTTCATTTCTATACAATTTAGAAGAAAAATAATACTAAAAAAAGACGTTTATGTGGCAAAAATATATTATATTATGAAAATTCTTTTTCTTGATTTTTTTCTTGTTTAATTAATTTGACACAAAATAAATACATAAGTTTGTATAATTTACCATGTAGCATTACGGTTTTCATTTTCAACTACCTTTAATTATAATTATTAACTAATTTGTTTTTCGTACACTATACAAATAAATTTTATTTATTTAAATGTATGTAAATATATAAATTAACATTATATTGTTTAATGTATATATAAAATATATATAATATAGTCAAGATATAAAATTATAATAAATTTGATTAATAGTTTGCATTTATTTCATTCAACAGTTTGAATTTTTTCGATAAAAATAATAATTAATTTTTAACTATATATTTATATTCTCTTAAATTACTTTAATTATTTGAAATTATAATATTGTTAAATACTATTATATTTTTAAAATTCAAACAATTATTATTTTAAATTTTTATTGTCATTTTTTAATATTTAATTTATCTAAAAATAAAAAATTCTTAATTTTATTATCAACATAAATAATAAAAATAAATTTTCAAAAATAATAATAATAACATAAAAAAGTAAAAATACTTGAAAAATAAATCTCACCAAAAAAAAAAAAAACGTCATTTTAAATAGTACTTTAGTTTTAATTTAATTAGTTTTTTTTAGCAATGGGCTTTAATTAATTAGTTGGATCAATATATTTTATGAATTTAGCACACCTGTGGCCCACTTATTTTCTTTCATTGATATGAGATCCTAAAATTTTAATCATCATGCTTAGACTTGATAATTCATGTTATCGTATTGTATAAAATATTATATTTATGTCGTGTTTTACACGAAAATTATGTGTCACAGTTCGTATTTACATCAAAATATAAAATATAATTTTTTTGTTTTATTAAATTTATTTATGATTTTCTAAAATTTTAAGCTGTGTTATCTTCGTATCTTTTATTCGTATCATTTTCATATTGTATCATTGTATCATATTTCAAATTGTTAGGTCTAATCATGCTTTCTCTTTCCTTCTCTAATTGGACGCTTTTCTCCTTTGCTCTATTAACTTCTCAAGATAATTCCCCACCTTTCATTCTATTCTCTTCCAATGTTGTCAACTGTCACTTTTGACGATGTTCAGCAATTCCTATTCTTTGCTTTTTTTCTTTTTTCGTCCATTTTCCTCCTCATTGATTTTTTTTTCTTTTTTTCTCACTAATCTCCTCCCTCTTGTATATTTTATCCCTCTTTCATTATTGGTGGTGGTGGTTTTAATTTTCTTTCCGATTTTTTTTTGTCTTAACCAAAAACCCCTTAACTATTTTAGACATAATTTTGTCCGAATAAATTCTAAATAAAATTCGTCGCTCACAGTCAAATTCGAGTCAAATTTTGAAATACCAAGTTGATTAGACAAGATAGGTATGGTGCATGCAAAGAAAACTAAAGAGCCTGAAACTTTTAAAAAAGTAGGAAAAATATATATCCTAAGTGAAATTGATTCATTTAATGATAAAATACATGGAATATAATTATTTGAGTTTAAAAAATCAATTGGAGAATTTTTTAAGAACTAATTTAGAAAATTTAAGTTATGAAATTTTTTATTTTTCAATTCTTCCTACTTACATTAAAAAAATTCTCATGCAAATTCTATGAGATTTTATAGTAATGTTTATGCATGAAACTACATGGAATTACATGATGAATAAATAGAAATTTATTTAATAACAATACATGACTAGAAGGTGAGGAATTGGAGATTACAAATTGCTACATTTCAAGACTGCTTTTCAGGCATGTTTTAAGAAGATTTGCAAGCTAGATTTTGAATAACTTGGGATGAGAATTTAGGGCTGAATTTTTTCACACATGTGCTACACTAGATAACCTATGTTTAAGACTTTTTTGATGATTTTAAAGTACAAATTGATGCTCAAAAGAAATAAAAACATAAGCCACATTTAGAATTTTTTGAAGCTATGTAAACAACATTTCAAGCTAATTTTGAACCACTTGGGATGAGAACTTGGACTTGAGTTTTTTCATACATGTGCTACACTAGATAAACTATGTTCAAGAATTTTTGGACGATTTTAGAAGCAAAAATTGATGCTCAAAAGAATTAAATACTAAAACCACGTTTAGAATTTCCTAAAGCCATGTAAGTAGTATTTCAAGGTAGTTTGGGATAAGAATTTGGGGATGAATTTTTCACACATGTTGCAACACTATATGACCTATGTTCAAGATCTTTTTGGTGATTTTAGAAGTTCAAATAGGTGCTTAAAAAGCTGGATAACAACCATATGGACAAAATTCAAGGCTTTTTTATGTATAAAAATAAGTCAAGTAAGCTAAAATATAAAGCACATGCAAGTGAAAAAGCAAAACATAATAAAAGAGTGACCACTTACATAAATTTTTGCAACCAATTGTTGTTCTTTTTTTTCTTAATTGTAAGAAAGAACATTAAGCCCTAATTGCAGAGCTTGTGTGGAGTTTTTTTGCTCTTTCATTGCCAACATGAAGACACAAGGATTATCTTATCTTGGGACCATTTACACCATGTAAAATGAAGGAATAATGGTTAAAAAAATCTTTTCTTTACTGGTCATGGGTTGCATGAGTTTGGCCCATAACCAAGCCTTGATCAAATTTCCTTTTGGCTAAGGTAAAACATTCCCCAGTAATTACATTGATTATGCTTGCAATAGGTAAGTTATTTATAGCTCAACCTTCGTTTTTCTCTTGCTCATTCATTTGATTCTGACCACCCTTATTATTTTTTTTTTTTTTTACACTCTTAGGTTCCTTCTTATCCTTTCTTTTTAATCCCTATTTTTGTACTCCGTTCTATCCTAACCTTGTCTTGATCACTAAACAAATATGCCCAACCAACCTTTCCTGATCAGATTTTCTATTTCATTCTTCAGGTTGACACAATCTTTCATATTATGATCGAAGTCTCATTATAAAGCACATCTCTTAGTCGGGTCTTTTCTTGTGTTCTGCCTCAATGGTTTTGGTCATCTTAGGTTTGAAACTTTTTCTATTTGTATTAGAATCCTCTTTTGAGAGGTATTCAATGCAATGTAGTTTCTTTCTTTACTTGGGCTTGTGCCTTTGTGTCATTTTTCTTTTGGGATAAGATCATAGAATTTTTTTTATCTTTTTTTCGATCAAGGAGAGGGATGAACTTTTCTCACCTTGGCCATCGAAAAAAAGGGATAAGCCACTCTCACCTCAATTATTTTTCATGGTGGCTTCAGCATTTATATATTTTTCAACCATGAGTAGAATGTTAGCTAGTGTCTTTGGTGGCTCTAAAGACAAGGTAAGCTTCAGATAGTATTATCTATCACTAAATCTATTAGTCAAGGCAGTTATAATGGCCCTTTGCTCTAGGTCTTTCACTTGTAAAGTTTTTACGTTAAAACGCATACCGTAGCTTTTTAACCACTTTTTTTGCCTTGATGGAGCTTAGAATAGTTTTCTTGGTTCTTCTGTAATTGACAAAACGGAAGAGGAAAGAGTAGCTAAGCTCTTTAAATGTGGTAATCGACCTCAGTTTAAGGCTATAGTAGTAAGATTGAGCCGCTACTTTAAGGATTATGACCAATCCTTTACACATCAGGGCTTTATATGCACTATGCATCATTATGTTAATTTTATAAAATTTTAAATGATCAAAGGGATTAGATGTACTATCGTATGTTTTCAAAGTCAGTATTTTGAATCCTTTTGGAAGCATGATCTTGTCAATCTCCTCGATAAAGTGCAAAGTTTTTAGGAATTTTAGCTCATCTTAAAAAACAATAGCATTCCCCTATAATTCTTTTTTCATGGCCTGCATTTTGGCCTCTAGGTCTTTGTTCAATTGGGGTTCTTAGTCAATTTGTTTGGATTTTTATGTTGTTGCATGGGAGGAGTTATGGTTCAGATTGTGGTGATAAGTAACTTGAAAGGCATGTTCTTCTTCCCTAGAGGCTAAGAAGGCCTTCACTTTTTCATAGCTCAGTTATCTTTCTATTGGTTATTTGTTATGGGTGACCAAGTCAGGTATCTTCGAGGTTTAAGATAGCGTTATGGTTTACAACATCTACTTTAGAACTTGGATTTGTTCGATCAAGGCTTGAAATTGTTCCATGGTTAGTCCTGCTTGTACTGGCACAAATTGCTCCGTCTGTTGGCTATTATGGGTTTTAGTCCTAGCTAGGACAACTGTCTCTCCTTCTTCATTGGCTCTTTTTCCTAGGTAACATGGTATTTGGCTTGGCTAAAGAATAAATTGCCTTTATCTAGTGCGCTAAATGTTAGTGCCAAGTTTTGAGTTTTGGGTTAAAATCCTAAAATCACAAGAAAGGAAAAAGAGCGATTAGGGTAAAGGCAATGAATGTTTTTTGCATTTGCACTCCGACACTCAAGTTAAAAGTCAATATACAAAAAGTTAAAAGAAGAGAAAAATAAGGATGTAAGAATAGAATAAGACTGGATCGATAGTACGTGAATGGCTTTTATTTATAAGTGAAGGTGAAGGGTTTGTGGGGTAAAATGGTGAAGTAATAAAGCTGATGTGACACTATATATACCAAATTGACTTGATATACCAGGTTGACCAAAAAGTTAAAAATTTTTCTAACTGTTTACTGATAGTCCCTAATGAAAAAGATGACCAATATGCCATTTAGACTCAAAAATACCCTTAACACATTTCTTTATAATAGAATAAAAATGAATCATTAAATACAAAAATAAATGTCAATTAACAGCACACAATCCGATAAGGATGTTGTAATTATGATAGAGGACACAAATATAAATAACTAGACTTGATAGTTTAAAATACGATACGATAACACGACACGAATATAATATGAAAATAAGATACAAAAGTGACATGATTTAAAATTTTAACAATAACTGT